CGTTATTGTTATCACATGGGGGGCCAAGAAGCCCCCTATGTGATAGCAATGAGGATGCGACAGGTCCCCTTTATGGTAAAACAGCAAAATGTTTCCCAGCACACTCACCACCCAGCATGCAAAAAAAAAAAACCTGTCTAACCGCTAAGGTTAAAAACGATGGACATCTTCTGCAGAATATGTGAAAGCCGCACTGCCTCATAAAGGCCCCTTTGTGTAGTGTGGTCCTAACTCTAACCTATGAGAGTCTCCATCTTGGAGCACATGTAGCAAAAGATAAAATGTGTTGCAGGTTCGCCAGGAGGCAGCCCAACCTCCTTAAAAAGGCACAGGTATGCACAAGGGATCCCGCACATCACAACGGCAGCTGAGATCCCCAGTGTGTCACTGCACCAAATCAGTCAAGCAAAACAAATCGTCCCCTTTATGGAGACATCAGGGGTCTTTAGACCTGCTACGGACTCCCAAAGAAGCTGATGAAGCAGAGATATGCTTCTTCAGCTTCTCTCCAGCTTATGAAGCCGGAGTGACTCAAGAATCCAGAAGTGATGTAATATACATCACTTCCTGCATTCAGACAACGGGGAGGAGACCGTGGGCTGATCTCCTGTCACAGACCCACCGTGCTGGTCCCGAGCTCGCACCAGGCACAGCAGAGCTCAAGACCGGCATAGGGTGGGTGCAAGGCTAATTGGCCCTCTAAAGAGCGCCACCAAAGAGAGAATGGTCCCTATAGAGTACCCTGATGTGCAAGATTACATTCTCCATCAATGCTGATGCCAATACTCAGTAACACTGTGCTAAGTGTGGGCCACGTCCCACCAATCCATAGCGAGGATGGACACGCAGACCCCAGTAGGGCTGAGAACTAAAATCTGATTGGCTGCTACAAAAAAGGACCTTGCATTTCATAACAATTTTCCTTTGCCCAGTGTTAGCCATGTAAGGTGTGATGAGGGGTGTTCACGTGTCTTACCTAGAACATAAACATAGTGCATGTGACCCAGATACAGATCCCTTTACCCTGCGATAGGTCACAGCAGTCCCTTTAATTCTCAGTGTATACATTATACACACACTCTTGCCATGGACAAGAGAACCATGAAACGCAAAGATGTCATTTATTGAAGTGAAATGTATATTTTGTATCATGACTGCCACCATTCTCTATATAACACCACCAGTACTATCAACCCGCCTCCCCCGGTTACCGTGCTGCTGAGGGCTGTCTCCGTTGGACACAGGGGCCATGTTTGAGGGACTGTACTACCGACAGCTGAGCGGATCCTCCTGGCGCCAAAAGTAGCAGAACCCGGACACACATACAGCAGCAATCAAACTGGCGCGACCCCGCCGACCAATCAGAGGACACAGGAAACAGTCATTTCCCCAATCACAGCGAAGCGTTCTTTCGCCCTTCTATCAACACACGTGCGCGTTCCAGAGTTCGTAGGGCGCGATCTCGTGCGTGGTAAAGCGCATGCGTGGATGAAAGATAACTGAATGTTGTTTGGAGAATTCCATATTCATCTCTCAGCTAGTAATGGTACATAGATGAATGTAGCACAAGTCGTTTTTTTCATTTAACCACTTGAAGTCCACGGTGTTAAACCCCCTTCCCATCCAGGCCATTTTTCAGTATTCAGCGCTGCGGTACTTTGACTGACATTTATTCCGTCATGCAACGCTGTACTGAAATGATTTTTATACAATTTTTTAGGAACAGAGAGCTTTCTTTTGGTGGTATTTAATCACCACTGCGGTTTTTATTTTGTACTATATTAAGGAAAAAGTACCGAATAATTTTTTTTTAAGACTGTTTCCCCTATATTACATTACAAAACATTTATTATTACCCAATTTTTTGGTAAAATATAAAAGGCGGGGTCACGTCGGGTAAAAAGACACCAAACATGTCAAGCCTTAAAATTGCGCGCGTGCGCGAAACCTCAACAAACTACAATACCTAAAATTGGCCATAGGCGACGCTTTAAAAGCTTTTATCGCTCATCAGTTTAGCATTATCAGTGATTGATGGCCCTAAAAATATTGCTCTCACTCTGACGTTCGCAGGTATATGTAACATGTGTAGCGCAATTGTCATTTTAACGCGCTGGCGCATCAAAAGCGTATTTACGTTTATATGTGCGTAAACGTGGGGGTGGGGGACTTAAAGATTTTGGGGGGGGGTTACTTTTTTTATATGTGACTTTTATTTTTTTTTTACAATTATTGTTATTGCTATTACATAGAGGGATAACAATCCCCCTATATAATACCAAAGGCACACTGACAGGTCCTCTGTATGGAGACATTAGGGGTCTCTAAGACCCCTAATGTCACCTGGGGACCCCAAAAGAAGCTGATGAAGCAGAGATCTGCTTCATCAGCTTCTTCTCTCTAGCTATAGCAGCCAGATGACTGACAGGGGAATGCCGAAGTGATGTATTACACATCACTTCCGCATTCACACTACGAAGGGAGATGCTGACCTCCCTCCCATCTTACCTCCTGACGCCCTCCCGAGCCAGTCCCAGGCCGCAGATGGGCTGGCGGATCCCGGGATTGAAGGTGAGGGGTCAGGAGGGAGCGGCACTCCAGCCGGCGGAGGGGGGGGGGCGAGCAAATAACAACATACAACCGATCGGCGGCTATAGAACTGCCGATCGGTTGTATGTCAAACAGCCGGTAACAGCTGTAAAGAATGGGCGGATATTTTCTGCCCGTGCGCGCGCAGAAAATAAAAGCTGTCTAATTACGGCAACCCGCCTATGTGAGTCTGCCGTCTGTCCGTTTTTTCACAGCGGGCGCACGGCAAACGGTTAAAGAAGAACTCTTTGAAAAGGAAAGGTAGAAGCTGATTGGTTGCCATGGCCAACTGTTCTATATTCTGCCTGCTCCCGTTTTGATAAATTCCCCTCACAGTAATGTTAACATAATTAAAGAAGCATTCCAGGATTTATTCAAATTAACCCTTGCAGTGGGGCTACCCTGCAAATGTTAAAATGATATTAAGGTCAAAGAAAATTAATCACCCCCCCCCTCGAATGCTGGTGTATGCACTTACCTTAATGATGCCTCTTGATTCGATCATCTTCTTCTTTCCTGTAGTTTCCATCAGTCCCTCCAGCGCTGGTGCTGGTCTCTGATCCAGCGCTGACTGCTGTGTCTTCTGTGTCCGATGGTGTTGGCTGCCGGGCTGCGTGCATTGACATTCCCTGTGTCTCTCCTCGTCTCCCGGCTGAAGATCTGAACTGCTCATGTGCCCGCCCCAAAATCCTTTGCAGCCGCCCGAGAATCTTCAGACGGGAGCGCGCGACAGAGACACAGGTAAGTTTAAACCCTTTTGAAAAGTTTTTTTTCCCCAATGTTTTTTCATATATCTCCTGCTTGCTGGCAGTAGATATATGCAAAAAAACCCTTTAACTGCTCATTTTGGCCTAAGAGCAAATATATTCTGCGGCACTGACTGCTCACCTCTCTCCCCCTCCGCTCTGGCTGTGGTATGGCCCTCAGCATCCTCATGTCTAATGGACTTGTATTAGATGTGATGATGTCACAGGTCCTTAGACCACCACAGCCTGGGGGTGAACAGGCTGCAGGGTCTGGTTTAGAAGCCAGATGGTACCCAGGATCAGGTTAGTGTAGCAGTTTTATTTTTGTCCCTAGACCAAAACCAGCAGTTGACCCCACTGCAAGAGTTAATTTGAATAAATCCTGGAATGCTTCTTTAATGATGTTAAAATTACTGGGGGGGGTGGAATTTATCAAAACTGGAGCAGGCAGAATATGGAGCAGTTGGCCATGGCAACCCATCAGCTTCTATCTTTCATTTTTAAAGCTTAACTATGCAAGCTGAAGAAACAAGCTGTTTGGTTACCATGGGAAACTGCTCCAGATTCTGTCTGCTCCAGTCTTGATAAATTCCCACAATGTAAATGTTTCTTCTTCTAGGTATAGCAGCCTGGGGGTGTTCTGAAGGCTGCATGCAGAGTGCCCGTAGAAAGCTTATTTTTATGCTGTGATTTTGGTTTTCAAGGGCTCCTATACACCAGTTGTGATGATTGGTGGTTTTCTGCACGATATCACAAAACAATCAATAACATGCTGCACTTGTCAGAGACAGAGGTAGATGACCAGGAGATGGAATTAGAAGGCTGGGAGACAGAGGTGGACAGAGGAACAGAGATAGACAGCTGGGAGATGGAGATAGACAGAGGAAAGGAGGTAGGTGGCCCGGAGATGGAGGTAGACAGAGGAAAGAAGGTAGATGGCCAGGAGATGGAGATAGACAGAGAAAAGGCGGTAGATGGCCCGGAGATGGAGGTAGACAGAGGAAAGGAGGTAGATGGCCCGGAGATGGAGGTAGACAGAGGAAAGGAGGTAGATGGCCAGGAGATGGAGATAAATAGAGCAATGGAGGAAGATGGCACGGAGATGGAGATAGACAGAGCAAGGGAGGTAGACGGCTCAGAGACGGAGGTAGACAGAGGAACAGAGTGTAACGAGTCTCGAGGGGTCAGACCGCTCGGGTCTCCCCATGTGCAGGGACGGCAGATTTGCGTTCCACGGTGGAACGCGGAAGCCGCTCGACTTCCGGATTGCGGTGTGAGCGGCCTGCGTTCCACGGTGGAACGCGGAAGCCGTTAGTTCCGGCAATTGACTCCTCCCTCATCCCTGGGCTATTTAAAGCCCCAGCTGAGGCAGCATGGCGTTCAACTATTGGAGTCAGAACGCCTGCTGCCTCCTTAAACCTGAACCCAACCACTCTGAACCTCTGATTCTTTCAGCCCTGCCTGGGAAGGACTCCACCTTGACCAGCCTGTGGACCTGCTGCTTGTTTCTGGCCCGGAAGCTCCTAAACGCAAGTATCCCTCCGGGGAAGCCTGAAACCAGACCTTTTGGCACTGTAACTATTGAGTGGATATAGACTGTATTGAAATACCTGAACTGTACCTTAAGGGGAAATCCCTGGCATATCAGTGGTTTAGTGTCAAATTACTACCTGTATACCTGCAAAACGTACCATCCATTCTCAGTTAGTGATGTATAGGCTATGACGCAATAGCTCTGCATTTAACTTGCTTTTTGGTTACCTACGGCTGTGATGCTAGAGTCCCAAACTCCCCGTTTAAGATTGGGAGTGACGCCTGGGACTCGAACCTGAGAAGCCGTCTCCAACCACCAAACCATTGCTACACTCCGCAGTTGCGATCCCCACTTACCGCTACAGCAGTCGTGACACAGAGGGAGACGGCAGGGAGACGGAGGTAGATAGAGGAATGGAGGTAGACAGAGGAAGAGAGGTAGATGGCTGGAAGACGAAGATAGAGGAATTGAGGTAGATGACCCAGAGATAGGGGTAGACAGAGAAATGGAGGTAGATGGCCAGGAGATGGAGGTAGACAGAGGAATCCTGGGAGATGGAGGTAGGCAGGGATAAGGAGGTAAATGGCCAGGAGATGGAGTTAAACAGAGGAATGCAGGTAGATGGCTAGGAGATGGAGGTAGACTGAGAAAAGGAGGTAGATGGCCAGGAGATGGAGGTAGACAGAGGAATGCAGGTAGATGGCTAGGAGATGGAGGTAGACAGATGAAAGGAGGTAGATGGCCAGATGACGGCAGTAGACAGGAGAACAGAGGTAGACAGCTGGGAGATTGAGATAGATAGAGCAACAGAGGTAGACGGCTCACAGATGGAGGTAGACCGAGGAACGGAGGTAGACAAAGGAACAAAGGTAGATGGGTGGGAGATTAAGGAAGATAGAGGAACAGAGGCAGACAACCGTAAGACAGAGGCAGACAGCCAGGAGACGGCTCCTGGCCGTCTATCTCTGTCTCACGGTTGTCTGCCTCAGTTCAACTGTCTACTTTCATCTCCCACCCATCGACTGTATACAGAGGAACAGCATAGACAGCTGGAAGATGGAGGAAATCCAAAAAGTAGTTGAAAAAAAAACCCTGACACACAGCAAGTGTCATCAGAAATAATGACCATGTTGGGAGGGATGAGAAAGCAACTTGGTGAGTCTCGTCACAGAGAACAAGAACAAGAAAGAGAGGTAACATCATTGGTTTTCTACGCTTGGAATATGACATGAAACAAATTGCACAGCAGAAACTGTCTTCCCTTACAATTTGATCTCATGCAGGTGGTCCAACTCTACCTTCACATGGCACCTCCACTGCCTCATCATCAAACATACAATTATCCTTCTACATCATGCTCACTGCCACCATACCCGCATCATCCTACATAAACTCACACTCATCCATGGCCACATACAGAACACTCCCAAACATACCCATCATACACCATTTTAGGAACTCCCTTCACATATTCACCATATTGCACTGACATACCTCAATTGTCAGGGTCCAGTGTAAGCAAGCGATTC